TTTATATATATAAAAAAACTTTTTAAATTGTTTTTATGATTGTTCGCCACCCAGGGTCACTTGGTTGAGGTGGGTGGCTATAGAAATTAAAATCAATCAATCAATCAATCAGACAAAATATATAACGTGTCACCAATTAAGCCTCACAGTCTGGAAATGAGGAATTGGTGAGAGAGAAAAAACATGCATTTATTCAGTTCAGCAAACAGACGCATAATGCATGTCCACCATCAAAAGGCAATCCTGCTCAGCGTCTAAAGTTCAGATAGAAGATGAAATTGCAATGTTTTCTAAAAGGATACATTTCTAAAAGACAGAAAGGAAGTTACTCCCATTTCCATTATATTTGTTTTAATATATGGGATAATTATGTCCAGAAAAGGAGTAGAAAAATATATAACTACCATTTCATATCTCCTCTTCCGCTCCCGATAATTCACTCAGTACCTGCTTTCAGGATCATGAGTCTTAATTTTACATATACTTAGTTTTCGCCATTCTTGGTTGTTGTTTTCTCCTGTGTTACCTTACTTCCCTGAAAGCACAAAGTTCACTTTCAAGCATTCTCACAGAAAAGCCCAGAAAATAAATGCTTCAACTTACCCCATGTTCTACGATTCTAAGGGCAGCATTTAAAAGCATCAGCTTCCAGGGTTCGTCCACATTCTCTGGTAAAGGGCTGTAGATGTAGTAGGCTATCAAAGCCAAAGCCACCACAAGGCAGAAGGATTTGCCTCCCATCTTTTACTCTGTCTATCTTATTCAAGTCTCGCTCCCACTGACTACTCTCAGGAAGATTGCAAGAGTAATGAGTCAGCTCACAACAGCATTCCTCTTGATCTCAGTAGAAAAGCTGGGGTCAGAACAACTGTGTTAAAATGCACTGAATCATCAGTGGGGATTCAGTCTCCTGTTGCTATCTGAAATTTGAACCTAGAGTTTAAGTTTAAAGTTCAAAGTACTTTAAAGTTGCAAGTCACTAGTTCTGCCTGACAATTGAGGCTTGAGAAGAATAACTCAACGGAGCAATTAAAGTGTGAATGCAATGTCACAGATTAAGAGTGAAATGTATGATATCTACTGACATCTACTTAGTGGCAATTCCAGTGTCTAATAAAAAAGAGAATATATGTAGCTCAGGGTTGAACTGGAGTCCTTGGTGCTCTCCGAGCTTGGTTGTTTGCTTGGAGACATTTCATTACCCGATTACATAACATCATAAGTACTGGTGAGCGTGGGGTTTGCTCCTATTTATATACAGTAGCTTCCCCTGCCAGTGTTGGTGGGGGTGTGATTCTCTCCTTGGTAGTTCCTCGTTTAGGGTATTATTTTCTGCTTGATTGTTTATCTGGTGTTTATCCCCGCTTATCTGGGTGTTGGTTTCTGGAGAGGATGAATTCTTTTTGTTTCCTTCTTAGCTTTTTTATTGTCTCTTTTCAATGGTGTGTAAATGTGGTTTATCCCTATGTGTCCATTAATGATCAGGCAATGAAATGTCTGCAAGCAAATGACCAAGCTCAGAGAGCACCAAGGACTCCACAGTGTCTAATAAGCTAAATCTTCAGCTAAGTATGGAGGTGCCTAGCTGATAAGGCACATACTTTTACTTTGGTGATTACAGAGGTGAGACATATCTTGATTATTAAAAACCTCTGATCTCTCAATGAAATGGATTGGTTCTACATTCAAATGTTTAAGATTTGCAACACACCTTCTTCACTTTGCCCTGGGAACTGCCTTTGAGTTGCAGAACTGGAAATATAAGTTGCAATGTATGGAACGCAGCAGAGAGAAAGTAGAATTGCTGGATTTACAAAGAAGAAGTCAATAGAAAAATTGTATGATTCGGGTTAATAAAATAAAAGTGTCTTCACACTGAGCAGTTTTCTTGGCAATGTTACAGGAGTGGTTGACCACTGCTTTCTTCCAGGCTGTTCTTTTGCCTTTAATAAATTGTTTTGGGACATATCTTATGCATTCTGCTAGGCTAAGAGCAACTTTGCTTTGGTTGAATCTTGATGAACGTTATTATTATGGTTGGTCACACAGTCAGCCAGATGTTTAG